CCCCCCTCGGCCACGGCCACGGATTTTTAGGCGATGTCGATTTACGGGAATTCCTTGTCGATTTACGGAATTTTTTTTATTGTTTTCTTGATATTTTGGTCTAAAACTGATACCTATGTGGAATTCTAGGAAATTGCCTTTTTTCAATCTAAAAAATTTTCATTCCTAAAACGTTTTTAAAGGGGGACTCCGACCAAAAAGTATTATTGCATTAAAGGAGGATTCCGGGCAAAATGACTTTGTGCTTAAATCGATGCAAAATATGGGCTTATTTCCGAAAATCACAATAAAAACGCTCAAAAAAATTTCCTGTAACCACAAAACGCCGCCAAACAGGCCGTCAGAATAAAAGTTATCCCTTAGGGACTAGTTTTTTTGAAAACTCGGCCACCGGCGCCGCCTCGTCCACGCCCTCCGCGGCCATCGATTTTATTGACATTTTTCAATGAATTTTGGTCGTTTTTCATGTTTTTTTCGAATATTGATGATATTTATTGAGAAAAAATCATAAAAAATGAACCGGAAAAGATAATTATACCAGATTTCAGCAATAATGGCTGATGTGTGGTTTGTTCTTGTTATTTTTTTTCTCATATTCGTTATCTGCTTCAAAATAAATCATTTTTCAAAGCTGTATTCATTTGAAGTGTACAAATATAATAAAATTATGATAGCTGGTGAGAACCGAAGAGTCTGAATATGAGAATTAGAGAGAATTCATCTGAAAAATTGTAGTAATTAAAATGTCGGAAGGAAAAAGACGTCGCTGTCAGTTCTGTTGGGCTATGGTTCCGTGGAAGGAGTCGACTGTTATCACTTCGAGCAAAACAGGAAGAGAAAAGTGGATTGAGGCGTTGGGAGAAGGATTCAGGAATCAATTGGAGAAAGTCGGAACTCGACGAGCCTACATTTGTCGTTTTCACTTCCCATCCGGAGAAGTTCATGGAAGAAGATCTGTATATTCGCTTCCTAGACTCGCTGCTGATGGTGATGTTGCTGATACATCTAATTTAGATTTCTCCGAAGGTGATAACGGTTTCGAGATAATTGAAGATTCAAGAGTTGCTGATAACGAGGAATCGTTTG